GGGGGGGGCGTGGGCGGTCCTGCTGTCTGCAGGACATCAAAGCGCCCCCACAGAAAAACCACTAAATCCCGTCTGCGAAGTTCAGCGGGAGTGTCAAAGTGTGTTTGTGTGTCTTGATGTGTAGGTTGAGTTGAATGTGTGTATTGGTGATTCTGCTTCCCACTTCTTTCCCATGTGTTTACCTCACTTCAAGACAAGAGACAGATCACATGGCATACACTGACAGCAATATGGGCAGGGAGGACAACACAAACAAACAAAACAAAAAAGGACAAAACTGAAAGGGAAGATATTTGTTACCATTGTCAAATTTCAAGAGAGAGAGAGTGAGGGAGAGAAAGGCGACACAGAAGGAGAAATGAATTAATAAGATACAGTTAAGTGAGTTAGAAAACGAACAGAAAGAACAGAAAAGGGAAGGGGAGGAGAAATGGCTTATTCAGGTACAGTAGCTATGTGCATTGTTTTGATTGACCACGGGTGACGAAGTGGGCTGTTTGAGAAAAACAAGAGTGCTGTAGCAACAATGTTGTGGTAAATCCTGTAAAATATGATGTGTGCCAAATGCCAAGTGGAGGCCATTGTGCAGTAATCTTCCTGTGGTGAACATGGTGATAGATTTAGTGGCTAACAGTGATCTGTCTGTCTACTCTCTGTCTCACCCATTAATGGGGACCTTTAGAGAGGTGCAGCTCAGTGTTAATCACACTCTCCATGGAGATGAATAGGCACTGCTGGGGAGGCAGTTGCCCCTGTTGTATGTTTAATTGAAATGATGCATACTGGCATACTAAGGTGTATTTTGTCTACTCCAGAACGTGATAGGCATCATTTCTGCAACAGCTATCTGGAAGTGGTGTTGATCGTTCAGTCTTGTCGTTACCAAAGCTCCTGGAGGCAGAGAAAGTTGTCCTGTTAAGTGGTAGGAAGGGCTGGGGAAGGAGAGGTAGTCCAGGTAATAATAGACACCTTGTTAGCTGGAAGTGTCTCAGATATGTAAGGAGCACTGTCAGACTGAGAGCTCAAATTTATGGGTCTCAAGTTTTTAAATATTCCCAAGTGTGTTGACAAAAATATGTAGAAAAGCTGTGCAAAGTCTGATCTAATTTATGTAGCACTCTAGCCAAATTTTATTTGATGACTCAGTTCTGTCTCATCGGCAGCTGAGGGTGTTTTTAATGCATATTAAATGAAACACACTTTCCATGATGAGTTGGTTTAAATCAGAATATTGATATTATAACAGATCTAAATGTACTTTAATCATATTACTACTACTCTCAGGGCAAAGAAATAGACAAATTCTTACCATTTATATGTCATTAAATTATGATAAAGTAAGGAATCTTTAGTATACTAAATGTAGGTGTGAACTGGTGGATGAGGTGCCTGCAGCTAATGAAGTGCAGATTCAAAGTAGCAAGACAGAACTGCTGGTGTCTCTCTTGTTCTTGGGTTTCAGTCTGAACTGTCCCTCCTTTATTCTCTCTCTTAGAGCACTTTGCTTTTAAAGCAGTTCAAATTTCTGTGCCCTCCCTCATTTTCATGCTTCAGATTTTAATTGAATCTCCGAACCCAACACTGAACCTGGAAACACTATCCAATTAACAGGTTGCAAATGCGCAGACCAACAGCAGAATGTAAGTTATTGATGTTTTCTATGGTTTAATTACACAAGTTTTGTTTGTAAACATGAGTAAAACATGCCTATATTTACAAATGACGGTGCATATAAACAAAGTTTATTATCATTTGTTTATTCTTTTAATCAAACATTTTAATTATACCTATAATCTATGTGGTTAAACAATTACTGCCTTTAATATCACTCCTTGCTCCTCCTTTGACACTTTTGTCTTACATTCTGTCTTTATGTCGTCCTGCAGAGTTAAGTGTTAAGTTCAGTGACAGACCGACTGCATCATTTATCTGATATTTATCTGATAGTAATGATTTTGTGCCCTCAGCAATGAATTTTATCCAAAGCAACATCTGTGAGTGTGTTTGTGTGTGCGTGCACGGGGAAGATTATGAATCACTGTGCCAACTCTGTCCTCTAGTGCGCAGCGTCTGTGTGTGACATGTCTAAGCACTAAAGTGCATGAAGACACAGAAGGCTATAGTTGGGAGTGAAAGGACACCACGCTACCTCTGTCTGTCTGTCTGTCTGTCTGTCTGTCCGTCCGTCCGTCCGTCCGTCCGTCCCATTAGAATGAACCTCTTAGTGTCAGGGTCACCTGGAAGTCAACCGCCCCTAATTGACCTAACGGTTGTCAAGGAAGCGGGCTGGATCAAGTGTCCATGTCATCTCAGACAAACAAACACTGCTACACACACAAAGTCATTATGTGTCACTTACTCACATATACTTAAGTCTGCCAAGATAGCGAGGGAGTGAGACAAATGTTACAAATGATACACGGAAACAGAAATACCACCAGTAGGTAGCCAGACAGACGGGCAAGTTCAAAACTGCACACACACACACACACAGTCTCAGACACGGTCAAACTGAGAAGACAACAGAACTCTGTCTTTGTTTGGTGGTTGCTCAGCAACTCTGTATCTTTTTTAATGTGTAAAAGGAGCATCCAAAATGTTGAACTGAAGGTCGCTGAAAGAAAACGTTGCCCTTCTCTCCTGTCCCTCAGTCCTAAGCGTGTCTCTACAACTCACCGTCCTTGTTTTCAGGAAGTAAAAATAAAAGTATATTAACATGAACGTAATGGGTTGTTGCCACTTAACTGTGCCTATAAATTATATTCAGTTGTGGAAAGAGAGTCGGTACGATTACAGGTACAGTTTCCTTAATATTTGTATTTTTCATCTGTCTGACAGCTATATTGACGAGATGACCACTTTGGAGAACTGCAACAGCAGTATGTTTCTTACAAAGCTATGATGTCAAGATAAATCCCTTGAGACCAGTACATGTCACAGTACTACAGAGACAGAGAGAGTACTACAAATGTACCAAAAAATCCCCCGGGAATATAAAAAAATGAGTCCTGTAGGAATTGTGCAGGTGCTGCGCAGGACTCTTAGAAAATTACTGAAGAAGCATCAGTTGTAAGCTTGACACAGATGTGACTGATGAATAGGCAGGAAGGGTTTAACAAAAGATGCATAAAAAAATGCAAGTTGCATTATGGAAAGTGTAGAATCTTGTATTTTTGATCCTTACAAGAAATAAAAACTCAAATAAATCTCAGCATCTCATGCATCAATTTTGTCCATTTATATTTTATTTTGTCTCTTGCACGTCCCCTAACTTCATGGAAAAGTGATACCAAAATTGCCGCATCAACTCTTTCAATGTGGTTGTATTGTCTTAAAATGACAATGATCACAACCTCAAGTATTATTCTTTTCTTTCCTTCAAGTAGCACTCTGGTCAAAAAGTCCCGGTTACAGTACTGTCACAGGCTAATTACAGTCTCCATTATTTATTGTTCCAGCTTGGAAAACCAACACATGGACGCCTCCTGACGTAAAAGGCTTCTTCCACTGAAACCGCTGATGTTGTCAAGTAATATTTGGCCACATTAGCAAGTTAGCTTATAATGCGGGCAACTGTAAACTTAACATTTCAGAAGGTAAATTAGTAAATCTGATCATTTACCAGACAGATGTTCCCAACAACACAAAGGCAGACGCTGAAAATCAAATGTGACTTTATTTTGAGGTTTCTGAAAATGATGTAAAGCTGTTGAGGCTTTACGTTACAACCATGTGTTGATGTCATCAAAGAAATGTATTCCAGGCGAGTTTGGTTAACAAATTAGGATTCTGACTTGAAGGATCACTCCACTGGAATTTACCTAATAGGTTGCTGGGATTTCCAACTTTACACCACGTACGGAGCATGGAGCATAAATGACTTCCCTCTTCTCTGAAGAAACGCGACTCTACTCTACATTTGTTTTCTAAGAATGCATCGTTTCCACTCCCTTCTAAGCTCTGTCTCTTTCCTCGCTTTGCCTCCGTGCTCCCTCGCCTCTCTCTGCTCAGCTTCTTGTCTCTCTCCCTCTCCGTATTCGTAGCATTCTTCAACACTCTACCTTTCTCTCGCTGGCTGGGTGTGTCTGCAATTTCGTTCTTCATCTCTGTACCTCTGTGTGTGTGTGTGTGTGTGTGTGTGTGTGTGTGTGTGTGTGTGTGTGTGTGTGTTCAGTCTGTCTGTTCCTCTTTCTCCACAGCGTGTACATCAGCCATCTCATTACAGCTGTCTGTTTTTACATCCCTTTGCCTCATTAGGCACCGCACACAGCCACTGAGGACAGCAGGCCTCAACTCCAGTGCCAATTTACCCCTCTCTCTCTTTCTCTTTCTCTCTCTCTTTCTCTCTCTCTCTCTCTCTTTCTCTCTTTCTTTCTTTCTTTCTCTCT